CACGCACACACACACACACACACACCACTGCCCACAGAGCAAGGGCCTCAGGGTCTGGAGGGCTCCGCCCACTCTCGGGCTCTCCATTCATCCAGTGAACCCATTTCCTGCGCCCAGGGAACGAAGGGGTTCTTGCGAACTCTCCCACTAACCCCCTCTTTGGTGACCCCCTCCCACAGGGAGTTGAGCCATAGGCAGTTGCGAAAACAAAGCAAGTTTTCACCTACAAAAGAAAAACGGCCATTTAAGATGGTCCAATCTCATCGCTGGTGTCAATGGCATTTAATGTTTTAATAACGACTACCAGAAGAGGCCTCCGGTGAAAGTCCTATCCCTTTACAGGACCATAGAAGGGTCACCAAGGCCTGCCTTTCCTGACACTTGAGACTGGTCGCTGTCTGTAATGGATTGAAAACCAAAGAGGCCCTCCCGGCCGCCTCTCCCACCCCACCCAAAGCCCGCTCCCGGGGATGGAGCCCCTGCTCCAGCACATTCACATCCCAACCCCGGTTTTCCATGTTTGACTTTTTATTTTTAAATAATCATTTTATTAGGGGCTCATAAACGCATCACAATCCGTACATACATCATTTGTGTCCAGCCCATTAGTACATATGTTGACTTCATCATTCTCACAACACCTGCTTTCCACTTGACTTTTAATACATTTTGGAAACAATGTCTCTCCGGCCTTAATATTTGTTTTAAGAATTAAGCTGCAAGCTGAGGGAGGGACCGAGGCAAACCAGTAAAGCCAGTTGCCTTGGACCTGACCCCAAGCCCTGACGGCCTGTCTGTGTCAGAACAGAACCGGACCCCGGAGGGGGTTGGTTCTAGTGGTTGGGTGCCATTGAGCCGGTTCCGACCCACAGTGACCCTGTGTACCACAGAACACACCATTACCCGGTCCCGCGCCCCTCCCAGTGACTGCTATGTTTGAGCCCCTGGTTGAAGCCGCTGGGTCCGTCCATCTTGTTGAGGGGCTTCCTCATCTTCACTGCCCCTCACTTTACTGAGCATGGTGTCCTTTTCCAGGGGTCCTCAAACTTTTAAACAGGGGACCAGTTCCCTATCCCTCAGACCCATTGGTGGGCCGGACTATAGTTTAAAAAAATAACTAGGAACAAATTCCTATGCACACTGCACATATCTTATTTTGAAGTGAAAAACAAACGGGGCAACCTGGATAAATATCCTCGGCGGGCCGCATATGACTGGCGGGCTATAGTTTGAGGACCCCTGGACTAGGCTCTCCTGACCAAAAAAAGGAAAAACTCACGCCATCAAGCTGATGCTAACTCACAGCCACCCGGTAGGAGAGCATAGAGCTGCCCCGTGAGTTTCCAAGGCCGTGACTGTTGGCAGGAGTAGAAAGTCCCGTCTTTCCCCTGGCAGCATGTCCAAGGCATGTAAGACAAAGGTTCCCCAGCCTGGCCCCGAGGGAGCACTCTGGCCGTATTTCTTCCAAGACAGATCTGTTTGTCTTTTGGCAGTCCGTGGCTCTGACATTCTTCACCAGCACCACGATTCAAACATAGCAATTCTCCAATGTTCTTCATTCATTATCCAACTTTCATGTGCATATGAGGCCATGGGAAATACCGGGGCTTGGGCGGAGCGCCCCTTAGTCCTCAAAGTAACACTCCCTTTCCAGTACGCTAGAGAGGTCTTGTGCAGCAGGTTTACAATGCAAAGCACCTTTTGCTGTCTTGACTGCTGCTTCCAGGAGCATTGATTGTGGATCCACGCGAGACAAAACCTGGGAGTTTTAGGGGCTGGTGTTTCAGAAAGAGATCGCCAAG